GGTTAAATTTCTGTAGCTTTAGAGGACGGGAGACTTCATGACTTCAATGCCAAGAAAAGTTACAGAGGCCTGCTGTACCTGAAAATCAAGTTTGAGCTTCAAGAATAAAGGCCATGTTTTAAAAACAGCTGTGTATGTATAGTTATATATTTTTCATGCCCATATATTTCTGTATCTTTTATTTCTAAGTTGTTGCCATTTATAGCAATTTCATCTTCTCTTATCCTTTGTCACCAGGAAAGAACCAAACCATTGTTTCTAGAGACCCTGCAGTGTACAGACCACTGGAAGAAAAAGTGTTGGCGTAGCTGCTTCCTAATGTTATCTATGTGGAAATGAAACCTCAGTGTACTATGACTTCATCCCTGGTTATGTTGTATATTTATAAATAAGTTCATTCAGTCGTCGCTGAAACAACTTAAAAGGGCCGAATGATAGTTATTGAGTAATGATGCAGACAAATCTGAAATCCTGCGCTAACATGGATGGAATGCTAGCTGTATGTCCGGCACATGCTGTATGCTTTACATTTAATCCTTACAGCAACCCAATACTGTAGATAAAATCATTATCCCGATTTCACAAATGAAGACACTGCCCAGAGTGCCATAAAGAGATTATTGAGCAGGATTTGAATCTGAACTAGGAGACTTAGTTTAATCTCAAGATAGCTTGGTGTCTTGCCAGAATGGATGGAGAAAAAGTATAGAAGATGTTGACATTTTAATAGAAAGATAATAAGATAGCATAGCTCCAGAAATTTACATAACCTTTAAAGTTATTCTTTGGGGATTCTGTTTGTCATAGATTTGAGCCTGTCCTAGTCTAACACAAATTTTGGAGCTGAGTAAACAGCTCCTTAATAAGTGTGTATGAGTAAACAAATCATGAATATGGTCTACAAAATAGTAAATTGTTGAAAAGCTGAGATTCAGGAGAAATTTTCAGAGAGAAAAGCATTGCTTATATACATTTGGCTCTTACAAGAAACATTCAAACTAACCTGTTAACAACACAAGCCAAATGATTTTGCCATATGTAAGAAGAAGAAGAAAAAAACCCAAAACCTTTAAAATGAGAAAGGCTTCCTTACAAAAGAAAGATTGTTAAGATATTTTAAGATACATTGATTCCAAGAACTGTAAATTTATGTGTAAAAATCTATTATCAGGAGTTAAAAGGATAAAGAGATTATTATTCTTTAACAGAATGAAGTGCCGTAATGAACGTCAGAGGTGCTCAATAAATGTTGACTGAGCATATCATCAGTTAACTGAAGCATTTTCCTGACTCTGTAATGTTCTCCTTTCTACCAGTAGTGATTTACCAGTTATATTAAAACTTAATCAGAAGCCCCATTGGTCAAAGGCTGGCTTTGGGGCAAATATTTATATCTGTTACAAAACAGCCAGTAGAGTGGGAGGTTATGTGTGTGTTCAAAGTATCCCCTCAAAATGCAGATGATTGGAACAAAAGCATGAGGGGGAAAAACAGGGACAGCTGAGCTGCAACTAATTAGTTTTCTTTTACCCTTTCTGAATTCCAAGGTGAAAACTGTGACTGTGAGTCTAACCTGTTACAGAGGCTAAAAGTGGCTTCAAAAGCAATGTCTAAAAGAGAACAAATACCTGATACAAGCATTATGTAGTCAACATGGCACTGAAATTCTTTGGGCTCCCAGAAAGTTTAGGAGAAAACCTTAAATGACTTTTCATCATTCTAATTATTGTCCTAACACTTAGGCTAATAGTTGAGAAAGGAGATAATAGACAACAACTGCTCATTCTCCATCACCACAATGAGAGCTTTTCCTTCCCATTAAAAACATGACTCCATCAATAACACTTGCATTTGTTTCTGAATAATCAGTTGTTTCCATCTTGCAGAACACCAGTGAGGTGCTAGTGAGAACCCAGAACAATTTCTAAGGAGAATGGCTATTGAATGATGGGATCAGAAATTAGGAGAGAAATAAGGTGCATTTTCCAGTGTACAACAGGATGACAAAATTTTCTATGAAAAAAATCTTTATATATTCAATTCAAATTTTTTCAAGAGCTTCCTGGATTCAAGTATGCTAATGGTACCACAAGAGTTGGATTTGTGTTAAGCTACTATCAGAGACTTGGAATAGCAGTAGATTAAATGAAATAGGGGTTGTTTTCTCACTTAAATTGGAAGATAGGCAGTCTAGGGCTGATATGATTTCCACTGTGTCACTGGGCTGTTGCCCTTCTGTCATTCTGTTCTGCCATCCTAGGCAAAGCAATATTGTCCAAAGATAAACCCAGGCGAGGATGTAAATTGGTGGTGGAAACTGCTGGTGGGAATGTAAAATGGTGCAACCACTTTGGAAAACAGTCTGAAAGTTCCTTAAACGGTTAAACATAGAGCTACCATATGACCCAACAATTCCACTCCTAGGTCTATATCCAAGAGAAATAAAAACCTATGTCTACAGTACACAAATGTCTATGGCAGCATTATTCAAAATAGTCAAAAGGTCAAAACTAACTGTCCTTCTGTAGACAAATGAATAAACAAAATGTAGTATATTCACGTAATGGAATATTCAGCCGTGTAAAGGAATGAAGTACTCATATATGCTACAACTTAGACAAAACTTGAAACATTATACTGAGTGAAAGAAGCCAGTCACAAATATATTATTCCATTCATACGAAAGTCCAGAATAGAGAAATCTGTAGAGGCAGAAAATACATTAGTGATCATTTAGGGCTGGAGAGAGTATGGGTGGATAGGGAGTGAGATCTAAAGAGTACAGAGTTTCTTTTTCTTTTTTTCTTTTTTCTTTTTTTTTTAAAGACAGTCTTGCTGTGTCCTGCAGCGTGGAGTGCAGTGGCACAATCTTGGCTCACTGCAACCTTCACCTCCCAGGTTCAAGTGATTCTCCCGCCTCAGCCTCCTGAGTAGCTGGGATTACAGGCATGCACCACCATGCCAACCTAATTTTGGTATTTTTTGTTTGGTTGGTTTTTGGTGTTTTTTTTTTTTTTTTTTGAGACAGAGTCGCACTCTGTTGCATAGACTGGAGTGCAGTGGCACAATCTCAGCTCACTGCAGCCCCCATCTCCTGGGTTCAAGGGATTCTCCTGCCTCAGCCTCCTGAGTAGCTGGGACTACAGGTGTGTGCCACCGTGCCCAGCTAATTTTTGTGTTTTTAGTAGAGACAGGGCTTTACCATGTTGGCCAGGCTGGTCTTGAGCTCCTGACCTCAAGTGATCCACTTACTTTGGCCTCCCAAAGTAGTCGGATTAGGAGTTTCTTTTTCATGTGTTGAAAATGTTTTACAATTGGTTGACTGGTGATGTTTACAATATCTGCAATATGCTAAAAATCATTGAGATGTGCATTTTACGATTCATTGTGAATTAGTGGCATGTGAATTATGTCTCGGTAAAGCTATTTAAAAAGTTAAAAAAAGAGGTGTTTATAGTTTTATTGGCACGTACACACACATGTGTGCACACCTGTACACAGTAAATCCAGTGTCTTCCCCAGGAATAGTTACAGGGTAAGAACCATACAACAAACCCCCAAATATGTGACTTATTTTCAGATTTCTGGATACTATTCAAATTCTACTGGCACTAAGAAGCTAAATATGAGGAAACAGGACAGAAAAATCTGTTAATGAAAGAGAAATATTTTAGGTCCATCCACTGGATACCTCGTGATAATATAAAGGAAAGTTCCTGCCGCACAAATATTTTGCAAGTGTGCTCTAGTCTTATAGCATCTCAGTCTTCTTAGCTATCTCTGTTTAAATGCAGGAAGAAGCAGACTACCTGCCAAAACAATCCTTTTGGATAAGCACAAACACAGATAATAGTGAATTTTATGGAATTGAACTTAATAATAACAAGAAGGTAAAGTGATACTTTGTCCTGAAAAATTAATATTAATGGAGGATACCATTGAAGGTAAAACAAAACCAGCTTCCCACTCTACCTGCCCCAAATCTGCACTTGCAGTAAAAACCCCCAAAAACAAAGCAAAATAAGAATTATGACACTAAAGCCCCAAACTTCTATTTTAATTCTTAAAAAAGAATACTCACTTCAGAGATATTTTCAAATTAATGCCAGTTATTTTGAATGAGCAAATTATAGGAATATTCATATAGGAAATAAGTTTTTCAGGAGCTATTTAATGGTCTTATGTCTTAGGGGATCCTTTTAGCTGAATACTTCCCAAGGCTCCTTAGTGTGTGCCAAGTTACTTTCTCTCTTCTCCCTCTGAGGTAATCTAAAATGAATTAAATTAGCAATGTATTTCATCTCATGTGACTGAAACAGTGTCATATTCCTAATACATAGGAATATATATTTGTTTCAAGTGGAACTTAATCCATAGGCCATCTCTGATTTGACATTGATTATCATGTAGACTGAATTCAATAATCTCTCTCTTGCATGTATATGTATTTATATAAATTATATATGGACATACAAATACAAACTTCTCACTTACATATGATCTGGTCTATTTTATTGGACTGTTGATACATATTTTTGATGTTCTAAATGTTCCTTATGATCTCAGATCTCAGCCAACATGAGCAAGTGAGGCAGAATGCCCCACTTTCTCTTGGTGTGTGGGTACTGTAAAGCAAATGAACGCTCTACCATTCCTTCTAGACAGATATTTATAAGCCCCTACAGCTCTGCAATCCTTTTATTTCCTGATTCGTGTTTGGCAGCATCATAAGTACTCATTGTACCTGTTCTATAGTAGGGGATGTTGAGAACAGAGCTTAAGCTATTATCATTATCAATGTGTTTAATAAGAGCCATACATATAAATCTCTCCAGAGCTCAGCTCATTAATAAGAAAAAAATCACTTTCTCTTTAGAGTTGCTGGCAGATTAAAATTAGATAATCTAGAAGAATAAACTTAGAAAAAAAAGATGTTTAAAAATTATTAAAATCATTGTCTAATTTCTATAGGTGTTATAAATTTAAAGGATGTTATAAATTTAAAGAAAGATTACATCAAATTTTATTAATAAAAATAAAGTCATTTATTCCTGAATTGTGTAATCCTTAAAAACAAATTGGATTTACTCAAGAATATGGACTAAGTATCTTG